GCCGGCCTTAATCAACTCAATGCCAAGAAGATTGCAACAAGTTATAGACAATGACGGATACTGACACTCAGACACAATCTATGTGTGACAAAGAGAGCGAATATAAGTCCGTGCTTAAGACGATTTTGAATATAAGAACGGACTATGAATACCGCCCTAAAAATAATGATATATGACATGTTTTTCCAAACTTTGTTTCAACCAATAAAAATAAACACAAGCGTGGCCAGACTCTATATATAGGGACTTTAGTCGAAACAAAGTTTGGAAAAACATGGCGGAACCAATAGGAATTCTTATAGAAAGTATAATAATTTGAAAAGAAATAGAACAAGAAAATTAATAACAATTAATATTATTTTTTTCTAGAAATTTTTAATTGAAAAATAAAGAAAAATTAACTAATAATACTTAAAATCATATCATTACAATATATATTATTATTACTTATATATTCAGTATCACAATAATGTTTGTATCATAATAATAAATAAAACTCATTTAAATAAAACTTATTATAAATAAAACTCATTGTAAATAAAACTATTAAAAACAATGTGAGGTTAGAATTACAATTTTTATGACAAATTCTACTTCTTTATAATATCATTATTCTTAGATATTTTATTTTAGAAACTATATACCAAATAATTGTACTTAAAAATTGTAGGCTTCACTCTGCTTTTATTAATACTATCAATTTGTAGTCGAATAAGGTGTAGTCAATGAAAGTTTTATTCCATAAATATGATAAACACAAGATGCGTTTATGCATATACCGCCGCCATGTTTTTCCAAAACTAATCGAGTGGCCAGACTCTATATATAGGGACTCTAGTTTCGACCAATAAAAATAAACACAAGCGTGGCCAGACTCTATATATAGAGACTCTAGTTCTAGTGTAGTCTGATACGGGCATAGGGGGCAGTCTAATGCAAACTTTAGTTTTTTATTCTGTCGGAAGAGGACATTGCTTGTGCAGTACAACAAATTTGCCCATACAATTTCTCTTCGTAATACTCTGTTATAATCTATGGTGTTACCGAGATAGCTCTGCGGCGCCTTTTCGCCTTCGTTGTACCGCCATCACAGAAAACGACCGTAAGAAAGGTTGGTTACTTAGGTGTTTTACAGCGTGGTGATTACGTTTCATCGCAAAACCGCACAAATGAAGATGGTGGATAAAATAGAGATGAGTTTGGACGACATTATCAAACAAACAAAGGGGTCTCGAGCGCGAGGTGGCGGCGGCGGCGGCGGCGGCGGTGGTGGTGGTGGTGGTGGTGGTAGTGGCAGACGCAGCCGTGGAGCCGGCAATTCACCTCGCCGAGGAGCACGCAGGTCGCAGAGAGTTGGCGGCGGCGTTATACGAGGTCGTAATCGCGGTGGTATCGCACGCAGCTCTTTGCCGTACACAAGGGTAAGGAAAGAAATGAGTTTGTTACTGAGCTTTGAATCTTGAGTTTTTCTAGAATTCACTTTTGTTAGTTGTGTGTGTTTGTGTGCGTGGTGCGTGCGTGCGCGCGCGCGCAAGCTGGATATGGGTTCACACGCGCGTGCGTGTAGTATATGATACATGCCATGTAAAATACATATGTGTGCTATTATGTGTGTACATGTATTGTGGATATGCGTCGAATATGCATACTTTGTGAAATGGAGTATCTTTTGAGCTTAAGAGTATTCACCTGTATGACTATTTATTCGAGAAATAGTATAAATTTGCGAAATGATAGAAATAATCATTCAGTTTGTTTCTTTTTAAACTTTGTTATTTTCTGTTATTTTTTATATTATCTCCCTTTTTTTAATGTTTCTATATATTTACATTTTAAATAAGTATATTTTTAAGATGTAGTTTATAAAAAAGTTACTGCATTATTGAAGAATAAGAAATTAATTTTTTGTAATTAACGCGTCTTTTTATTCTTAATCATAATTTTAGATATGTGAAGTATAGAAATAGGACTTTATGTTTATACAATTTGTACAATTTTTGGATATATTACATTGTTCACTTTATATAATGATTCGGAAAACATAAATGAGGTCAATATTTATTATGAAATAAATTTAGAATCAACATTCTTTATAGCAGAACTTTATTAGTTTTTATTGTAACATTAATTATTTTTATAATCAATTTTTAATACTGTCCAAAAATATAAACAAGATTTTGTATATTAAAAACAAAAATTGTTTGTCTATTAAATAAAATTTATTAAATAACTTTTAATAACTTAAGTTTTATTGTACAGGGTGATGTAAACAGTGCTTGGAAACATGACATGTTTGATGGTTTAAAAAAGGTTGGTCGTGGTGCGATTGGCAATGCAGGAACAACCAAACTTTTGGTGTCAAACCTTGATTTTGGCGTATCAGACTCAGATATACAGGTACCAATATATTATATGTAAAATAACTTATTCAATACATTGATTATATTCAATACAAATGATATATTAAACTATATTATTATGCAGTTCTCCAAAAGTTTTCTTGATTTTTTTAGATATTTATAAAAATCTGTTAATAATAGATTTATATAATAATTATATATAAATATTTATATATATATATATATATATATATATATATATATATATATATA